CGGCATTCTACACATTTGCAACATTTACAGCGTTACAAGAAGTAAACGACACAAAAAGTATAAACGAAAAAGAATGGAGGTTAAGGTTATTAGTATTAAATTAAGTAGAGACAAGATAACCAATCAGGCCAATTATTCATGTCGACTAACTACTACAGTCCATACCGATGAAATTAGTATGCTCTCAGGTTTTCTCCTCTTCATTGTTTGGACAGAAAACTTGCAAATTGTTCAATATTCATGTGTAAAGTTTTTCTGTAATTTATAATATGGAATTTCGGGCTTTTTTAAAGAATCTAGCAGTGTTTTCTGTGGTGATTTTCATAAAAGGTCCGACACTATTCTTCCAGAGAAACTCACCTTCAACTCTAACCGCAGGGCTGCTAATTGCTGCTCTGAATTTGCAAGCTCCACAGCTTTTTCTTTAAGTTTCTTCTCCTGTCAATAAACAAGGAAACAGTCGCAATGTTGTTAACAATCGAGGCTACAATAGTGCAGATGGATTTCAGAAAGTGGAGAAAGAGCACAGGCTAGTGCTTGTGTGGGCAAATCATAAGTTAGAAGCCTAACCTTATCGTCCAAAACTCGGGAAAATTGAGCTTTAATGGCATCTTCTCTAGCAACTGCCTCCTTCAACTTCTCCTCCACCGTGACTGCCCTCTGTAAAGCATCTTTTGCCTCTCTCACAGAATTCTCATACTTGATTTTCCAATCAATGGACCCACCATTGCACCTAGTGATCGACTTATCCTTCGCATCAGTCCAGTTGCTATCAACCCTTTTCTCATCTAACATCTCTTCGTACTTCCGTTTCCATTCAAGGGCTTCTTGTCTTGTAAACTCCAGCTTCTCCATCTGATTTGAGTACTCATCCTTGACTGACCTACACTTGCTTCCCAGTTCATGAATGCGGCTTTTGTACTGATCAGAGATCTTCTTCATGTCATCAATGGCATCCTTGTATCGCTTCTGGTATTCGTTCTTCAGATTTTCACCTCCCTCCAGTTGCTTTTTCAGCAAATTTACCGTGTTTTCCATGGAATGATGTTGTGACATTAGGAGGTTGTTCTCAGAGAGAAGTTCAGCCGTGTGATTCTGTCCTCGGTGAACAAGAATGTCCTGTAAACTGAACATAGGAGCAGAAAAAAAATTATTTCCCATGTAGATGACAGTTTCTCAAAAACATTACCATACCTCTTTCTCAAAAAGGATGACAGTTTCTGCCACTTCCTAGGACCGTGAATAGATACTTCATATTCCTCTACAAGAGTATCAAGGGCCTGTAAATAAGGACAATACTACTGTAAAAGCATGCTACAAATTTTTGGACAGGCAAGAGTGTGTAGTGCCTGCACCCACATTTGACATAAACGCTATCATTCATCAGGAAGCTGACACACTCATTGTTGTGATGCTGTAATTAAATACAACAGCCACCATCAGCATTCTAGCCCAAACACTGGTGGAGAAAGGTTCCGTTTTACCATTTGGTCCTAAGTTATGAGTAATATTTACATATTACTTATTCTAGATTAGAAAACAATTTCTATTTGAAAATTAATATATGTTATCTTTAGGTAATCTGGAAATTTTTGTTAGAAAATCACAATCTTCTGCTCTGAAGACAATCTTCAATATTCTCTACAATCTACAGCTTTTAACCAGTTAGAAGCTCTATCCATTCCAGCCAACTGTAGATAGTTGTTCTTAACCAACGACATGGACAAGATCGAGTCTGGCCATCCAGCATTCCTGGTGAGGCTCTGTCATAACTATATTACCACAAAAATGGTGTTTAATTAAGCAAGAACGGAGGAGAACCTTGTCCACATCGCTTATATGAGCATCACGAGCACGACAAACTGTCTGCAGCTTCTTCCCCATATCTTCTATAGCTTTACAGCACCTTGAATCCGCCTCCATACACACAACCTTTTTGTGATCCTGAAGTAAGCAAGTTAATTTAGCGTGTCAACACCAAAACAAGACCTCACAGAAACAAGAAACACATGTCTGGAACAATATATGAACCAAAAATGATTGGAATTTATCTTTAAAACCCAGGAAAATCTTTCTAGTTAAAAGGATACTTAAAAGGAAAAAGTAGGAGTAGGACACGTGACCTCAAATGCCTTTCTATAAAAATTGCGAAGATTTGTTTCATACTTCTGTCTTGTTTCACTGTTTCCAACCGCGGATCCGTTAAACGCAGACATAGCTTTCAGAACTGCCTTACTGTGAGCTTCCGTCAGGGAAAACTGGAGAAATCGTAGGGTTATAGGAAAAGTTTAGTCATATTACCACATCAGGTGTTACAAAGAATGCTACGTGACTTAAAACTTACTTCATCGGGAGCCTCCATAGGCTTCAACGAAGACAGATACGCATCAGTTGCTTTTTCGTAGGCCCTACGACATTCTAATTCCTCTACATTCTGCAAAAGCTGATTATATGAGATATGCTTGCAAGGATCACTACCTATGCTATTCAAAGCACAGAGTAGAAAACCTAACTATTTCAGAGTTAACAATCAATAACCTGCCATGAAGAAGAAATTTTGGGGACAACATTGTTGTTGAGACTATCTATGAAACCTTTAGCAAAACAAGCAAGAAGAAGCCCCGTCAGAGTTGTATCACCTATCTGCTTAGGCTTTGTTCTCTCAAAGACAAACTTCATAAGTGCATCAATACTGGATAGAAACCGGGGCTGCAATTTTCCGAGCTATTCAAGGTAGAGCAAACAGTGCATCAGTCAAGAGGAACTACGAAAACACAGCCAAGTGGAAAGACAAAGAGTTACCGAGTTTTGATCAGGGTATTGAAATTCATCCCCACTGATCGTAGGACGAGCAAGGGTGAGACGCTCTTGATTTGGGAAGAGGGCCTGGAGAGATTTATGAACCTGTTGAAATAAAAAAATGGGAACGGTCGCATAAAAATCATGAAATTACAAAATAATATTTGAAAGATGTTCATTGAGAGGACTACCACACTTTTTTCTTAGCAGTTACGTCTTCTCCACAGCATGCACCTCGCTCTTGTGCTGAATCTAGGGAAGCTGAAGTTGACACTCTTGAATTATCATCCACTTTGTTAGAATTGATGTCCTGTAGGTTTAAAAGTTAGAAATGTTAATGAACATCAGAGGCCAGCTACTACAAGGTCGAATGTCGAAACCCTGGACTGCCATGTGAAATAAGATAACTGTCACCATCAGAAGCCAAACAAACATGGGAGAGAACTGCTCGATCCCGCAAACATTATGTTCCATAACACCTCTGTCATGTCCGTGCTTGACAATCTCCATTAGAAGAGAGAGATTATCAACTGCAATATCATCCTCACTGCCTGTCTGAAACACAAGCAACATTGCCTTTTAACTTTATAAGTGGCAGCACCAAGCATTAACATAGCACCCAGTTCTAGAAACGAAAAATCCTGTAAAGAGAACAATATAACTCCAATCTACACAACTAAAACGTCAGGAATTAGATATTTACCGGACCATAGATAAACAAGCTTGACAGGAGGACAGCCAAGGAGAATATCTGGGTACTGTGTGTATCCTGTGAAGCCAAGTTAATGACATGAGAAGCACAAACAGTTATGGCTAAGAAAGCAGAAGTAGACAGTACTCGTCTGCTTCAAGATCTTGGTCTCCATAAAACAAAGAAAAAAAAGACCAACCGATCGATCATCAGTGTCACCAGTTTCAACATCGAGTAACACTAAATTATACTCGGTATCATCTTCTGCAATCCTTTTCACTGGCTCTATCCACATCCATAGATCTCCTGCACGTGGACGGTGAACAGATCCAACTTGATATCCAATGCTCCTGCTCAGAAGCTGCATCAACATCAAGATCAGACATTTCATTCAGCTTCCAATTTTTCTCACCACCAGAAAATGCATCAAAGAGAAATATCATTCTTACACATGCACACACGGGCACGCATACTTCTTGCATAAGAGACCGGAATAACAGAACTCAGCAAAAGGGTTTAAATAGCACATACAGATACATATAATCACATTCCTTTACAATCTTTTTTCTTTCTTTCTTTTTTTTGCTCCTTCTTCCACATTTCCCAGAAACTAAGCCTAATACTTGTTGAATCAACTTTGAGTCGAGAATGCAGCAATCTACAGCAAGTAGCGCAGCTGCAGAGAACCCTGAACCTCTGCTACATAACCACAAAGCATCATAACAAAAAGAGGCCAATTCGCACCAACTTTATCAAACACGAAACACGGATACGAACTTGCGACAACTAGGAAAAGGAGCGAGCAATGCTAAACCCTAAACCCTAGACCAAACTCAACACTAGGGAATTAACCCAAACAAACCTGATTCCAGACGAAGCTCTTGCCATGGCGAGATCTTCCACACAGGGAGACAACAGCAACAGGGCCATGAAGTTGCTGAAGAGCATCAATAGCTTCGGGGTCCATCTTCAACTTCCCATTCTCGTCTCCGTAAACCAGTTGGACCGCCCGACCCGAACCCGACTCCGCCGCCAATTTTCTCATGATAGTCTGAAACTTTCTTTTTCTTCCTTGGGGTGATGATCCTTGCTCCTGTTTCAACAAACACGGATCGCACCGTCTACCTATCCGAAACCATAAATTGCCCGAAGAAAGTCTTGACCTTTGCGAGTGACAAGGAAGAGGAAGCAGTTACAGTCTCGAGTTTCCGGAGAAAGGCATATATATCTAAATTAGAACACGAGAATTTGGAATTTTGAAGGGTTCGGGCCCTTAGGCCCATTTTCAGGCCCATTAATATATTTCTAGAGGCCCAACAAATTAAATTTCTTAAATTGAGAAAAATCCAGACTTGCATTTCTCGATCCAAACTGCGAACAAGAGTTTCTATTACAAGAGAAAATCAGTAGAAGATGACATAGTGGGATCACTCTGTATCAGTCTGACTCTGTTTCTTCTTCTTCAAGATATACACATCTGCCTCGTCGTATGCATAATCTGGATGAAGATGGTCGTGAGGAACCTTCTCTATGCCGAAAACGACGTCGCAGAGCTCCCAGAACCGCTTATCGGCCTCCGGCGACCTCACCTGGTATCCGAGCAGCACCGCGCCGTCGTCGGCCACCAGTGCCTCCATCGCCGCCACCAGCTGCCCCACCGACTCCTCGATGTACACGACGTCAGCAGCGACCACCAGATCGAACGGCGGATTCAGCGCCGCGATCTGATCCTTGTTGTTCCAGTACACGATCGAGGTTTTTAGGGTTTTTCCCAGCGCCGCCTTGTTCCGCTTCAGGTTGTGCTTGAGCGCTGGCATCACCGGAGCGATGTCGGTGAGTACGATATCCGTCAGGCCGAGGAGATGGAAAGCCATCCCGGCGGCTCCGCACCCGGTGCCGAGCTCAACGGCGCGTCGGCGATGGCGGGTGGAGCGGAAATCGAGGAGATGGGAGTAGGGATTGGGGTCCGGAATCAGAGAGGACCATCGCTCGGCGAACTTGGCGAGAACGAGGGAGCAAGGCCACACGGATGTGCCGACGTGCAGCGAGCCGTTGTCCTGCTGGAGGGAGAGGCTCGTGCCGTTCACGGACAGCTCAATCACCGGCGAGTCCGTGAATTTCATCTCTCTTCGGACATCTGTGTGTCGTTCGGCTGAGTTTTGATTCTTGAAGAGAGTGGTTGGGCTTTTTTATGTATGGGCTTTTTGATTTTTCGTTCGGCCTTTTAAGTTCGCTTACTTGGATGCTTTGACCACAAGCACAACTACTGTGAGGTAAACAAACAAATACAGAGAAATTCATATCGGTTATTTCCGGTTAAACTGGTTTAATTCAATTCAGCCGAGTTACCGTTAAAACCCAACCTGGTTCGGTTCGGTCTCATGTGAACCGAATAACCAATCGGCCTGGGTCTGAAATTAAGACTCGGGAACCAATTCTACCAGGACAATTCCCCGACCCCTTAGACTCCTTGCTTTTGAGACTCGTCGTCCGTCGCTCCGTTCCATTTGTTCGGCTCGTTCACATCGCCGACTGGTCTCGTCGACGGCGAATTCTCTCCTCCGTATCGATCGGCACCGAAATTTCAATCCCCACGTGGTAACTCCTTCCCTTCACCTCAGCTTCTATGGCTTTTCTGTTTTTACAGGTTTTAGTCGCGATTCTTCGTTTGTCTTCTAAGTTAGGTGAATTTGAGCCGCTGTGTTCGATGAGTTTGTTTGGTTTTGATTGTGGAGTTGAAGTTCTAAACTGGGCACAGACTTCAGGATTCTAATGGCTTACACTGCGGAATGGGAAATCCTCAATTGGGTAGAAAGAACCCGTGAACTCGCCTCTTTCTTGCGTTCGAAATTCGATTTGGTTCTCGATTTTGATGGGTATATTTTCTCAGTTCGATTCAGATTTCCGGGGTTTCAGTTTCACGGATCGTAACTCTGTAACTCAAGTGAACTGAAGTATCATATTTGGTCTCCATACCCATAGTTGGCTGGATACTCTCTGTAGAAGGTGAAAGCAGTTTGATTTCACGAGCTTCACTTGTTTAGAACTTAGATTTCCATTGATTCTGAAAGTTTTGTAAGTTCTTTGATCTTACTTTGAGACTTCTGTTTAGTTGCAGTTGACGTTTGCTAACTTCTAACTATTTCTGTATCAACCAGGAAATACGATTTGGATCGAACTGTTCTTAGGCATTCTTGGTGACTTTGGATCCATTTGTTAACATGTCAAAATTTTACTGATGCCATTTTTGCTGATTTAGATTCTTCACCTGATCTCAGATTTTGAGAAACCGAAAAGAATATTCGATTCTGTCGCTTTTGTTTGCTTATATGCCGATACAACTGATATTCCTGTTGCTTCATGTCCGTGCTACAGTTGATATTGCCGAATCAAATTGATTTTATGATTGTTGTATAGATTCCTCATAAATGGACGCAAAGGCTCTCGCAAAATCAAAGAGAGCTCACTCTCTGCACCACAGCAAGAAATCACACTCAGGTCATAAACCGAAAGTTCAGCCAGAAAGCTCAGAGAATGTCAGAAACCTGAAGAAGCAGCAAGGAAATCAAGCTGCAGCTGAGAACGCTAAGAATCCGGTTCAATCTAGACGACAACCTGCTCTCCCATCGAATTGGGATCGGTATGATGAGGATCTCGATTTGGATATGGACAGTACATCAGGGAATTTATCAGTGGACCAAACCATTGATGCTATTATACCAAAAAGCAAAGGAGCAGATTATCGTCACTTGATAGCCGAAGCTGAAGCGGAGTCCCAGTCAAAGATAAACATCGTTTCAGATAGTTTATGTTCACTAGACGATGTTTTGCACGGTATGTCACATGCTATGCATTACTCCTGTTACATCCTCTGTTGTCCCACGCCTTTGTTTTCCGTTCTGAAACTTTTTAGACATCCCTGTATTAATTTGGGTTCGAGTTGTTAATTATCGCAGACGAATTTAGTCGGTTAGTTGGATCAATGCTCTCGGCTAAAGGAGAGGGCATCCTTTCGTGGATTGAAGATGACAATTTCATTGTCGAAGATGGATCAGCTTCAAGTCATGAGGTACTGCTCTTGTTTTTTTCTGCTGATATTAAGATATGAAACCATGTTTAACGTTACATCTTAAGAGATGCCTTTTTCTTACATGAAGCCAGCATTCCTCTCCCTGAATTTAAATGCTCTTGCTGAGAAATTGGAGAAGGTGGAATTGCATGAGGCTCTTTATGTCGAAGCTGATATATTCCTGACTGAGCCGGTAATTTCTGGATCTGAATCAATAGCCATAACAATATCAATATCAAGTTCTATGACTGATTTTCTTGATTTACTTTGTGCTGTGTACGGCCCATCTAAAGTTGAATGGCGACCAGGGACAGAGGCAGTCGCAGACAATACAGGAAGCACAAGCTGCCTCCATGGTCCAACCAGATTTCAGTGGAAAGGAAAAGCTTGAATGGCTCGAACCCATTGTTCCTCGAAGCGATCTTGAGTATGATACGGATAGTCAAGTCAAGGATATACCAATAATCACTGGCCGGACAGAGAAACCATCGAACACTTTGGAAGATGTAAAATCTCCGGCATTCGAAGCTGAACTCGATATGCTTCTCGACTCCTTTGCGGAGAATGGCGTTCAAGAATCACACAATAAGCCTCGCCCAGTTCGAAACTCAACGTTCCACACAGGATCTTCCGACAATGCTTCTGAAAAGTCTTCAGCTTTTCAATGGACATCAGCAGAATCAGAACTGGATACGCTTCTGAACGCATCACCTGCGTCCGGTCTTCAAGAATCCGATGATAAGCCAAACCCAGTTCGAGATTTGACGAAAGAGACAAATCCATCTGATAAAATGCTTCAAGCCGCAAGGTTTGATGAAGTTCTTGATGACTTACTGGGACAGACTTCAGACACGTTGAAACCACAGCAGAACCAGACCGCTTCTTCTTCGTCGGTTGGAAGATCCAAGGTTTTGGACGAGTTTGATTCTTGGTTAGACACTATTTGATCTGCTGTTGTTACAGATGTTTCGATGTTTTAACAGATCAGAAGAAAAAAAAAACATGTTTTTTGTAAAATTTTTGCCTCTTGTTCTGTGTCAAGTTTGACAAGTTAAATTGCATTTCAAGAATCATGGCACAAAAGAACTGTCGTGATAACAATGATTTTTATTCCTTGACAATGATTCTTTTTCTTCTATCAAATCAAATATTAAATTCCTACTATACCATTACAGAATCGCGAGTAAGAGAAATTTATGAACAGAATCTTCAAACGAACAAAAAGCAGAAAATTTTATTTTAGGATTCGAGGAGAGAGAGAGAGGACAAATTCAAAGCCATAGAGCCCCAGCTTGCCTGAGAATGGGAACTAAATCGCCGTTGATATGAGCAGCCATGACTGTCTCCAGCCCTCCAAACAACTTCCCTCCAATGAACACCACCGGCAATCGCTCCTTACTGTTGCTTATGACTTTATTATGGTGATCATCATTTTGACCTAATTCACTTGTAACAATGGGATCATCTTCATCAACCTCTACGACCAATGGGTTGACGCCATGTGTCAGCACCAGCCGCTTCACCACGTGTCCCATGCAACATCCTCTCCTTGCAAACACCACCACGGCACTCTCCCGCACCATTTCTCTTCTCTTCGCCGGTGTTGTTGTTGATGATGATGATGGTGGTTGTAACCATGATGGTGGTGATGATGAGCCATCGTTGTTTCTAGGGTTGAAAACACTGTTTCCGTACATGGGTACCCATGATGACTTGTATGGGATTGCTTTCTGCATCCTGTGTTTGGGGAGAGAGAGAGAGAGAGAGAGAGAGAGAGAGAGAGAGAGAAGCTTGTGTTTGTTATTGTAGATTGGATTTGAGATTTATATAGAGATTTTTTCCTGCGAGCGTTTGGTTCACGTCAACGACGGTTGTGTAAATTATTTTTCTTATGATATCTATTACGACGTCACCGTATCGAACTGTGTGTATATATATATATATATTAAATATTCCATTTGCTTTACCTATAAGAGAAATACCAAAACAAAAATAACGACGTCAGGTCGAATGCTTAAAAAAAACACAAAATATTATAATAAATTACCATATAATAAAAATGCCATGTTATTAATTTGTAGTTATCAATGACCTATCGAATTGTCAATGAATAGTTTATAAATGAAGATGGGCACATGGTAATTAAAGTAAGCTTACGACAAGGCTTACGTCAGGAATTTGTATTTTGTTTTAAAGCTGATGTCATGTGTATATATATATATATATATAATTGTGTTGTCTCTATGTGTATATGTTTACGTATTTGGATAAATGCAGATCATAGTATGGGCCATTAGCATATCTAAATACGTCATGACGACTCGTTATTTATTTATTTATTTATAACATTTAAGATTTCAATTCACCTATTTTAATTATCGACAAAGAAACGAACTGTCGTCGTCCCCCTTCGACCTTATCCCTTAATTTCTCGTCGAAGCTTGTTTACATACACAACCATATATATATATACACATTATCATGACACAGACATGCACTCATATACATATATATGGCACGTACGGCGTGCATTATTTTTTATTTTTTATTTTTTTACCTTACGGCGTGCATTATTTCATTAACCAAACCCATATATCATGATAAAATTAATTTTTGTACATGTGTATAGAACAATTTATAGCTCAACATTAAAAAAAACTTTTAATAAAAAAAAGGAAGATATACTATAATCTCAAATGTGCCAATAGAATTAATGATACTATATACCTTAAAAAATCTATAAAAAGCTTTAAAATTCAGATTTTGTAATATCATCACACACATATATACATATATACACACACACATACAAAAGTAAGGGGATGATGACGTGCGACTTTTGGGGGGGTGGGGGTGGGGGAAATCTAACGAAGACGTACGATGCGATGCCATTTTTGTCAAAAGACGGCAGCGGAGGAGAGGGAACCGAGTCTTCGGATGAATTAAGCGTGTGACGAAGGTGGGCCCTTCCGGTGACTTCACCCCCGTGACAGAACGGCATGACGTCTCCCTCTTTCTTTACGAAACAGCAAGTCGTGCGTCAAAAGGTATATACGCGTGTTTTATTCCTTAAACCCTAATCTTTTTTTTTGAATATATATATAGGAAATATATGTTTATCGAAGCGTTTTTAGATTGTTTACAACATTCAGTGAGATTAAATTTCATTCACTTTTACTTTCTGCTTGCTTGCATGCAATATTTTATTATATATGTATAAAAACCAGTAGTTTTCAAATGATATAATGTTTTTTGTTAAAAAGTAATAATTCGTTCCGTTATCATTATTAGGCGTGGAAGAATCCTAATTGTCTTCTTACTATCGTAAAATAACAAAATTATAAACCCTTTTAGCACGCATATAATGAACGATGATGACGTGAAATGACGAATTTGACCGGAGAGTGGGGCCCACTTGGTTGTGTCATCGGCAAGGGGGGGGGGGGGGGGAGGTCTCTCTCTCGGTGGCGCCGGCGCTGCGTCACCCAACACGTAGGTCCATTTGTTTGCTATGCTCACTCCAATCTTTTATCATATCACCATATACATACCAACTCACTATATATATACTATATTAATTATTTCCTCTCTCTCTCTCTCTCTCCCCTCAAGTTTTAAATCATCCGTATATCTCTCTCTCTATATATATATATAAATGGATCACATATATGCTCAAATCTTAATATAAACTCTGGCCCCATATAAAATTGGAACGCAATTACTGTGGTCATACGAACCTCATGATATAAATAACATGACGCCATCTTAAAACAAAAGCCCAGTAATTTTTTTATATAAGCGGTAAATTTCAACAGTCGGCCCATGGGAATCAGAAAGCTTTTCCACGGAAGGGCAAAATGGTCATTTCGCAAACCCCTGGGCAGGACAGGACCCAACGCCGAGTCGGGGACACGTCACCACAGATGATCGGCCTCTCGGACTCGAACCATGGCCCTTAACATTCAGAGATTGAGCGCAATTCCATAGACACCGAGCCCACCGACCATGCTGAGACAGCCCAGGCCCAATACGAACTTATTCTTATAAATGGGCCGATCCAGCCCAGGCCCATTTAGTGCTTTGACTTCTGATAAAAAAAAAATTAATTATGTTACTAATAATAATAATATGTGTTCCTCGTAATCCCATGTGGCACGTGACGTTCATTTCCTCAGATCTGAAATACACCAATGTATACATATATGTAATTATGCAGACAATTTTTTTTTTTATATTCGCTTATGAGTACCACTGAGAGTAGTACATTCAAGAAATATAATCAACAAATTCCGAAACAAACCCGCATAAAGAAAATCGAACCAAATCGAACTGTACTCCGAAACATCAAAAGAAAAGCTTCAAGCACACCACCACGAGTCCAAGCGCAAACCCAAGCCGTCCGTTCTTCATCTCGCCGGAACCAGACTTTTCCGACGACTTCGGCGTCTTCTTGGGTTCTCCGGTGGCATTTGCGTCTCCGGTGGACGAAGACTTAGGGGCCGAAGCCGCCGGAGGAGAAGTCTTGTTCTTATTATCTCCGAACATCTCATCCGGCAATAAAACCTGGTCGACCACATAGACAGCGAGTGGCATCTGTTGTCTCAACGCATTGTTGATCCTCGTCTCGACAACGCCCGTCGAGACATTGACTTGGTTCCCCTGTCCGGTGAAGTTAAGTCCGTAGACGCCGCCGTCACGGCCGGAAGCCTGGGTCCGGACGGGGTTACTCACGGACAGAAGGTCGTCCAAAGTGTAGTACTTCGGGGTCACGTGGTAGAGAATGAGCCTGACCTGGTCCTCGATGCTCAGATGATTTAGGGTTCCGGGTTTAAGGTTTTGGAAGGCGTTATCTGTGGGCGCGAACACGGTCATGCCGTCGGACGAGCTGTTGAGCTGGATGTTGACTTGGTTGCCCACCTGGGTAGTGTTCAAGAGGTGGATGAAGGAGGAGAATTGACCTCCTTTTTCCAAGATCGCCGTGAGGTTGACCGGTCCGGCAGGTCCTGGGGCAGGAGCCGCCGGCTGAGCCGAAATTTCCGGCGAGAGGACGGCGGCGATGAGGAGGAGGAAGAGAGGAGTGGAGGCCATTGGGATTTGAGTCTTTCTCGTGTGGTGCGGAGTGATTTGGAGAATGAGAAGCTTATATATAGGGAAGAGATAGAGGTTGGTTGGGTGATGAGTTGGGGCTTGGTTGGAATGAGATGGCTAAGTCAATGACAAAATATATGTAGACAAAAAAACGAATATATAATACGATATATTATATTATATTACACACAGTCGTCCCAAATATTTTCGGGCCATGTACAAAAAAAATATTTATTTTATTTTGAAATTTTAATTCTAATTTTAAAATAAAAAAAAAAATTATTTATTTTAATTTTAAAGTTTAATTCTAATTTTAAAACATTAAATATAATGTTTTATAAATATTATTAAAATATTAATAACAACAATTGTGATAATAATAATATTATTAGAAATAATAAATAATCATAATATATGATTAAAAGATAAAAAAAATTATATTTTAAAGATTTATCATTTTTAAAAATAAATATTTAAAATGAATGATATGATATAAAAAAATAATTTTTTAATAATTGGAGTTAAAAGATCAATGTTATTCTAGGATAATATAGATTTTATTTTAGATTTATAAAAAAATTATAATTATGAACTATATTAATTAATAAAAATTTAATGATATTAATATAAATAAATTATGAATTTAATAGATGTGATTACATATAACTCAAAATATTTATTAATTGATTATTACGACAAATGATTTGGAAAAAATGGTCTAAATTTTATATTAAATACTATAAATTTATAAAAAAAAAATTATTTTTAATGGGGTCTACCTCATTTGAAAAAGTGTAAAAAAATATTTTTAAGTGAATTAAACAAAACTTAAAAAAATTTATTATTTTAATTTTTTTTAATAAATAGAACTTGTAAATTGTAAATATAATAATTTTTTAAAAATATGGATCACACCTAAATTGTGGGCCATGTGCAAATACTCCAGTTGCACATGCTCTAAGACAGTCCTGATATTACATCGAGGGTTCATTTGCGTATCGATTTCGTGTCGTGTGTGTATATATATATACAGCAAAACATGTTAATATACGGTAGATAAGAAATTATGAAATTGGTAGACCGGATTCCACAAAACACATGCAACGTAGTGAGGACTTCTCTCAAGTGTCGAGAAATGTAATAATAATATTTTTTTTACATGTTGTAATAAACTTCTCGAGAATATTATAACTAAGATACCTTTTGAATAATTATAATTATAAAGGTAAATTTATTTTAATATCTAATTTATTTTTATTTTGAATTTGAATTTGAATTTGTTACGTGCATACATTATACATATACGCAGAGTAAATTTTTTTATGAAAATGTTTCGAGTGGTCTTATATAATATGTTGGATATGTTTATTCTGCAAATATTGTATTTAGGAAACACATTTTCAACATAGATAATATATTTTAGTAACTAAAACAACGTGTATAATGAATATATATATATATATATGTATATATACATACATTTCAAATAAATATGAGCATGGAGTGTTTGTATGTATGGCAAAAAATGAACACGACAAACGAGTGGACAACCTGGCTAAGTGGCAGCCTGTAATGACAAGTTGGCACATGTGAGTGGAGGACAGGAAAATATATTGCATGGTCACTAACAATTTTATATTATATATTGAATTAGATAACCGAGAATCTTATGATTCGGATAGGTGAAAGCAATTTTGACTACTATTTAGCCCAAAAAAATTGACATGATTTAAAATTTGTCTGGAATATAATAATATCTAATATATTTTAGTAATTTATGACTTTGTAGCTTCACCAATATATTTATGTATGATTATGTGTACATTCATGGTTACAGTGGGTCTAAATTTGTAGCCCATTTAAGAGATCATTATTTATGTTGGGCTGTCTTGCTGATGGGCATGCAATATAATTTGGGCTTTAATTGGAGCCCAATTTGGAAACACAAACATTTTAAAACAACATAGGTTTTAAATAATTATATTTGTTACAAGCCCCCAAGTTTAGACAATTTCCAAAACAAAACCCTTTGTTTCGTCCTTTCCTGAAAATTTATTAAAAAAAAAGAAAAGAAAAAAGAGGTGGCGGCTGATGCGCATGCAGGCCGTACACTCGTCGTGGTGGCGCAAGGACCGAAGCACGGAGTAGGTTCCTCGCGTCTCGCCACGTCATCACGTGTCCCCTTTCCACTTTCGTCGTCTTCTACTCATTGTCTTTTTTATTCGCCACTCGAATCTCAATTCCTCTCATGTCATGATAATCACTAATAATTACGTTTAAAATTTTAGACATATGGACCGTTGCTGTCATTCTAACAAGCAATACAAATGTTTTTTAAGTATAATTATTCGAATTATTACAATGAAAATAGCTATATGATATTTCATATTAATTAAGTGCATGAGTACAAATTACAGATTAAAGAAAATGTTATGTAAAGATAGGCTGTTTTGTCGTGTTATGTCTCCGGTTCAAAGACACGTGGTGCGTCTCTTACTGCTGATGTGTTTGGAGATGAGCTCGAATGAGCCATGCAAATTGAAATGTATCCGCACCTTTCTTAAATTTATTTCATTTTATATATAAAAAAAAGGCTTCACAAATATGCTCGATTCATAGTTCTTTTTTATTTAAATTATACGTTATCTGATACGTACACACACGCGTATATATATATACGCATCTATATAAAGCCCCCTTCTGCATGCAAATCAAAACGCAGAACCACAAACAAAAACACACAAAAGAAGTTTGAGAGATGGGTAAAAGCTCTTCAATTCTGGGCGTCTGCCTAACACTTCTACTCCTCGTCCATGGCTACAAAGCCAGCGAGGAGGAGACGAACCAGCAGAAACAGTGGCAGGGACAGTGGGGGAACGAGTGTCAACTCGACCAGCTCAACGTCCTCGAGCCATCACACGTGTTGAAGTGCGAGGCTGGTCGGATCGAGATATGGGACCACCACGCTCCACAGCTCCGCTGCTCGGGCGTGTCCTTCGACCGTATCGTCATCGAGCCACAGGGCCTCTACCTGCCCACATACTTCAGCTCCCCCAGGCTCTCCTTCGTCGTCCACGGTCCGTTTCTTTTGTATTTTACTTATGATTTTTCTTTCCATGGGACTGTACCTTTGAAGTTATAATCGTGTTTGCTGAAACAGGAAGGGGACTGATGGGGAGAGTGATCCCTGGATGTGCCGAGACGTTCATGGACTCGCCAGTGTTCCAAGGCCAAGGCCAAAGCCAAGGCGAGAAATTCCGTGACATGCACCAGAAAGTGGAGCATCTGAGGTGCGGCGACACGATCGGTAACCCGTCCGGTATATCACAGTGGTTCTACAACAACGGCAACGAGCCACTCATCATCGTCTCCGTCTCCGACATTGGCAACTACCAGAACCAGCTCGACCGTAACCCTAGGGTAATCATATATAAATCTCTCTCTCTCCGATCCACACCCTATATGTTTTTGTGTTCTTTGCTCAAGTTTCTTTGCTCAAGTTTTTTTTTTTGTTGTAATGTAAATTCACAGCCGTTCCATCTAGCTGGAAACAACCCGCAAGGCCAAGTGTGGATGCGTGGTAGCCAACAGCAACCGCAGAACAACATGTTCAGCGGTTTCGACCCGAAGATCTTGGCTCAGGCCTTCAAGATCGAACTCAGGATAGCGCAGCAGCTGCAGAACCAGCAAGACAACCGTGGGAACATCGTCCGAGTAAAGGGTCAGTTCAGCGTCATCAGGCCGCCGATTGGACGAGGAGAAGAAGGACAACAGCTCGACAACGGCCTCGAGGAGACTTTCTGTACGATGAGGTGCACCGACAACCTTGACGACCCGTCCCGTGCTGACGTGTACAAGCCGCAACTCGGTTACATTAGCACCCTCAACAGCTACAAGCTCCCCATGCTCCGTTTCCTCCGTCTCAGCGCTTTACGTGGATCCCTCCGTAACGTAAGCATATAAAACCCTACTTGTAGTAACTTTTATCTCTATTCTCTTTGTCAAGTAACGTACGTTAATGGTAATGACCGGACGGGGAATGTGCAGAAAGCGATGGTGCTACCGCACTGGAACGTGAATGCGAACGAGGTACTGTACGTGACGAGAGGAGAAGCGCACGTGCAGGTGGTGAACGATGACGGGAAACGAGTGTTCGACCAGCAGGTCTCGAAGGGACAGCTTCTGGCGATCCCTCAGGGATTCGCGGTCGTGAAGACGGCACAGAGCGAGAGGTTCGAGTGGATATCGTTCAAGACGGACGACAACGCGAACATCAACACGCTGGCCGGACGGACCTCGCTGGTGAGGGGGCTGCCGCTAGAGGTGCTGACAAATGGGTTCCAGATCTCGTTGGAGGAGGCGAGGAGGGTTAAGTTCAATACCCTCGAGACCACCCTCACTCACAGCAGCGGCCAGTTCGGGTCCGGTAGGAGGTCCGACGCTTGATTTTGAGCCTCTTCGCCGTGGTGGTGGACCGAGACATGAGTGACGTTGTGTAATAATATGTATCAAAAAAAGTGGGACTGTTTTTGTAAGCTCAAGACCGTGACTGTAACTTTCTTCCAATAAAATGAGTTTCTCCTTTCTTTTTATCCACTCATCTACGTAAAAACTTTGTTAGGAAGTAGCAAAATGTTATTCCTACGTTTCAGATGCACGTACGCAAGTACACAAATTACAACCAAAATACACACGTTGACAATAATTTGATACCTGGATACAATTTTGGCACCTGTACGAGGAGAGTATTTTTTTTTAATTAAAGCCAAACCTTCTATTACTTCCTCTTCTTAGTTAAAGCATTACACTAGAGAACAGAGAGATCCCCCTTATGCATAAGGTAATGCTGAGCAAGTAGTATTTGGGCCCTCTCTCTCTCTAAAACGAACAGCAAGCCATGTAAAACACAGAGATATGTAAAAACATAATAAAAAAGGCTTCAAGGGGTGGCTTTAGCCGATGAACTCTTTCATAGGGTCGTCATGGTGAACTCTCTTCATTCTATACGCTTCCATATCCTCTTGAGTCACCTGCAATTGCCCAGTATGTTAAAAACAGGAAACAGATACATATATATATATATATAGAGAGAGAGAGAGAGGTAAAACACAACATACCTCGTCGTTCCACCTGACGTTATACTTGCGCTTCCGCTCATCTTTCTCTTCCCTCCTACGCTCATCCTCCTGCACCAGATTATTACCACAAAATCCTCAGTTCACTTGTCTTCCTCGTTAGAACATGAAAACCCCTCAGACCAACAGAAGAAGAAGATTCATTTGATGATCTTTACCTTCTTAAGAGCTTTCGAAAGAAGCTCCTCGTCCAGCTCCAAATCTTCAGGGATATCGGTTCCCCATGTCGCAATTTTCTTCTCTTCAGCCTTCTTGAGGCTCTCTGGTCACCAAAAACCAACCACCATTGTCAGAAAAAATAGAAACTTATAAAAGTGCATCTGGGAAGAATGCCATTACAGAACTTCATGACTAACCTTCCGATGCCTCTTTACGGGCAATATTTGCCTTCATTAGATCGATGGAAGCTTCAGCAGCCTCGATTCCAGCAGAACCCGTGCAGTAACTGTTACGAATTGTCTGCTTGCAGCACTTGTAGCCCCACTGATGGTCTTTCCACCACGATCCCCACACACTGGTGTGATTGTTCGCATGGACGTCTTCTTCATATTTGCTCTTGGGCAATGCTACCTCCTGTTTGTGACAAAAGGATAAATATTGAACCCCGTTTCTATACGGAGAAATATGCAAGAAAGACTCATGCTGTGATAGAAATGTCTATTAAATCCCAACTTTCACCGCTCATCCCATTAAGTTCCTACTTGATTCTAATGCAACTAACTGTTACATTTTAGACTCTCAAAACTAGGAGGAAAGGGCTGTAGTTTGGTGCTTCAATCAAAATAACATCAGAAGTTGAGGCTTTTCCTAGATAATACCGCAACCACGAGGAAATAACTGAAAAAAAAAGCCATACCTGTCCCTTTATAATCCTCCCGGCTCGGTCATACTCGACTTGTCTTTCACTTTGCCCAAGTAGAAGCTCCATTGGAAGTTCATCCTCAGCGGCAGCATTCCCATACTTCTCCATAATTGTGTCCTTTGTTTGAGATTTCAGTTTGTCTTTTGCAACTTGATAGTTCTTAAAGAGCAACTCGGCTTGTGAGGGAGCTGCTTGCATATGCATGTCCTGTCCCTTGTCAAACGCTTCCCACGCATGGATATTAAGCTGCTTGAATTCCATAGCTTCCCCGCTGTTTCTATATTGATTATCTCCCTACGACAATTAACAAACTCAAAACCATCACTATCTTGTAGAACTTCAGAGTATAAATATGACAATGCGACCGATGGGTTAAATGCAACTAACCAAGTAAAATTTCTCATTAGGATCCGCATCTGGAAGAGGATCTTCACGCATGGAGCGAGTTTTTGGGTCATAATGAGCAGAGTTCACATCGAGGTTTAAAAGGTACTTCGCTGTATCCTCCCGAATACGCAGATTCCTGATGATAAGATACAGCCCACATGATAAGCATGGCAGCAATTTGGAGAAACTAACAAACCTTCTAAACATGTGTGATGAAAGATATTAGGTAAATGCAAGACAATGTCTAGTCCCTACCTTACGGTTCCTGTGCTACCTCCACCTGTTGTTCTAACACGCTTTTCGACCTTTGCAAAGTCCATCTGCCTGCTCTCATCAACCTTGGCCTCATCAACCCTGAGGTCATCATCTTCCTCATCCCCGTCACTGGTTGCATCATTGCCGCTTTGGTTGTTGTTCTTCTCCTCCAATTTCTTAAGCTGCTGTTCCTTCAGATACTTCCTCCGAGCTTCCTCCTTTGCTTCATAGAGCTCTATCACACGATGGTAAGTTGAAGGGTCATAACCATTCCATCGGTCCCTTTTTCCATCATAGTCAAGTTCAAAAGTCTCAATCTTTTCATCAGGTGCGATGTTTTTGCTAGTCCACTTCGCTCCAACTTTACGGGGTCTGTCCATGCAAGCTTTTGCATCATGGGTCATTGCGCCACAGCTTTAGAGAAAAGAGGGGGACATTTAGAAAATGGAAAAAAAACAAAGACAATTCTGTAACTCTCAGTAAAGTGCAGAATTTAACTGCAAAGCCATTTCTCCAGGAAACATGCAAGATGCGTATATACATTATACAATTTAAAGAAAATAACAAAAAACCGAAGGACTAGTCAGCCTACTACGTCATATTTCACAGGTAGATCAAGAAACAGGTTTCAAAAGCTCCCTGAGAGAAACAGACCGACAATGAAAAGAAGGAAAAGAGAACATACTTTTGACATGCCCCCTTCCTATATTTGTCCGCTTGAAATATCTTTGCACCTCTATCATACCATGACTTTGTGTAATTGGGATCACTCTTCCACTTCCTTTGATGTTTTAAACTCTGTCATTCCAACAACGGAAAAAGTCTTCAGTGGGCAAGTTGTGGCATGATAATTAATTCAGATAACCAAAAGGAATTCAGCTTACCGGTTTCTCTGAATTGAGATACCATGGAGCAGATGACATATACTGTGGTATGTGAGGATTGATTTCCTTTCCATCTTCATCTACCTCAGCCGGGGCAAGCCCAGCTTTACGAGCTTCCTCTAATTCGATTTGCTTCCTATGATCTTCCCTCGATTTGAATGCAACTACAAAAGTCCCGAATACAGGAATATTAGATCATTCAAAACCCAAATCAAAGGGAAACAAAAGAGCTTAAGCAAATATCATGCTGCTCGTAGGTTACGAAGACGGTAATTTTCTTTATCAAAATATCACCAAAACCACTAACTAAGCAGAACAAGAAACCCTCAGTTGGAGCCTCTGAAGTATAACCAAATGGAGCTTACGAAACCCATAAATATTTTCAGAAAGAACATCCAAGCCACCACCGACACACGGGCAAGAAAAAACCCTAAGAATCAGAAACTCCAAAATACTAATCGGAGAGAACAAAGCCGAATCAAATACAGGTCGGTAAACGATTAATCTCGCATCACAAAAACCCTAATAACCAAATTAAATCTGAAAACAGATCAACCTAAAAAAGATCGGAACTGAGTTTCTCGTTTACCAAAAAGAGAACTAACGACCAAATCGACAGCCCCAATTCATTCAGATCCACAACACAACGAAACCACATAAGAACAAGCCGATAGAATCGATACCTGAAGCCGTCGCCATGGTCACGGAGCGTTAAGATTTGACTTCAGAAGAGCCACGCGATACGAAGAAAGGGAGAACTGGAAAAGAAATCTCAATCAAATAAGGAAAAGAGAGAGAGAATGACCTCAAATATCTTTTCTTTTTGGAAGGAAGAATTGATAAGGCGGTTGGTTTGGCAACGAAACGACTGCGTTTTGTTCATTCTTAAATGGGCTATTAGTTTTAATGGGCCTATAAATACAATTTTTTTTCCGGCCCACAACCACCAAATCCATTTAAAAAACAAAACGGCCGAACACGGATCACTTAAGGCAGTTATGTTATATTTTAAATGTCGGTCCGATTTTGGATAGTTACCTTGGAAATTCATATTTTATAAAGTTTAATTATCAAATTATTTACCCCGAAAAAGAATCGAAATATAAAATTACATAACTTTTTTTTTTAACTGTGGGTGAATCCTACAAGTTTGTTTATTGTAAGACGGTCTAACGGCACATCGAAATAACCCTGCGGCTTGGGTGAGAGGTCTTGCGCCACCGACCTCATGGTAGGTCGCAGCTCGGGGTTGCTTCGCGTGCAAGCTAGGGCTAATGCCACGGCCACTGCAACTTCCTCTGCAACTACTCCAGTCGGCGGCTGCAGCCGGGAATCTAGTATGTCTTTCAGATTCATTTCTGATTTCTCCGAAGACAACAACGTCGGAGATTGCAGTAAGTTCAGAAGCTCTCCTGGATGTCGACCCATCATCGCTTCCAGCGTCACCACTCCGAAACTGTAAACGTCGCATTTCTCCGTCACTCTCATCGTCTGCGCTAGCTCTGCAACAGAGAAAACACCATGTGGGTTTAGTGGATTCAGGGTTTTTGATTGGTGATCTACAAAAAAAAAAACTAGTTCCGGGGGACAAAGAATCGAATCTTTCGAGAAAGGTGAGATGTCGGAGCGAGTGGGAATCACGCGCTAGTTACCTGGAGCCATGTAACCGTAGGATCCGGCGACGGAGGTCCAGTTTGATGAATCTGGGTTCAGAAGCCTGGCCGTGCCGAAATCAGCGAGCCTCGGTTCGTACTCTGACTCTAGCAACAAGTTGTTCGACGAAATGTCTCTGTGAACGATTGGGGAAGTGCAGTCATGGTGAAGGTATGCGACCGCGTGAGCGAGGCCGTGAACGATCCTGATCCGCGTTGGCCAATCGATCGCTTCACTTTGCAGGACCTTGGCCAAGCTTCCACGTTCGATGTACTCGTATACCAAGAACAGAGCGCCTTGTCTTGAACAGAAACCATAGAGCTTGATGATGTTCCTATGGCGTATCTCTGTCAGCACACGTATCTCGTTCTCGAAGCTCTTGCGGTTTTCGAGAGGAGTTTCCGAGCTGTATTGGGTATCGAGCTTTTTAACTGCAACAACTTGGCCCGAGGGTAGTTCCGCTCGGTACACGCTCCCAAACCCGCCTCTGCCAATGCAGAATTTCTCATTGAAATCGTCAGTTGCCTTGACGATTTCCCTGAACGTGAATTTCCCTTCTTTATACCATATGGTCGGCTCGTAGCTATTTTTCTCTTCGTCCCCGAGTTCAGACAGCTTGCGGCATCGGACAATGGCTATTACAGCTAAGATGACTACGAGAGCTGAGATTGGCACGAGGACACCAATGAGGATTTTCCTTTTGTTGTTGTTATTGTTGTCGTCATCTGAATCATTTCCTCCTCCGCATGGATTCAGACCCTCTTGGTTTCCGCACAAGCCTATATTACCAAGAAAAGGAACCGAGCTAGAATTTCTAAACACTCCTGTTGTTGGCACTGGACCCGTCAAGAGGTTATATGAGAAATCAAAGGTGTGAAGACTGAGCATTCCAGACAGTGTTGTAGGGATAGAACCCGAGAGTTGGTTCCGCGAGAGATTCAATATCTCCACCGACCTCAGTCTGGACAAATCTGCGGGAATTGGCCCGGAGAGCCTGTTGCTGCTCAGGTCTAATAATGACTGAAGCGAAACAAGATTGGTTATCTCTCGGGGGATTTCGCCTGAAAGACTGTTGTGGCTGAGGTTTAAGCTCAAAAGCTTTTGACACTTCCCCATCTCTCCCGGTATGCTTCCGTTTATTTCATTGTCTGAAAAATCAAGAAAGTTGAGATTTGTAACGTTTCCGATACTTCGGGGAATCTCTCCTGTCAATCGGTTCCTGCTTAATCCTAGCATGTACAGTGAGGTCAGATTTCCCAGCTCACTTGGAATTTCACCGGTTAACAGGTTTGAGCCCAGAGTCAAGACGCCTAACCGAGGAAGATTCCCAAGCTCTGCTGGAATTCGCCCGTTAATTCTGTTCTGCTCAATTCTCAACTGAGATATGTTTGTGCATTGTCCCCATTGTTTTGACAGCTCGCCAGAGAAATCGTTATCGCTCAGGGCGACGAAGTCCAGTGCTGGGTGAATGCCAAATGCATCGGTGAGGCTGCCATTAAACTGGTTCTGATCAAACCGGACCCTGCTCAACTTCGAACAGTTCTTCAAGCAGCTCGGGAGGGGACCCGTGAATCTGTTACTGTTCACTGTCAGGACCTCAAGATTCAACCCACTGCAGAGCTCAGGCGGAAGTTCACCTGTGAAGCTGTTATTTGAGAAGCTAACAAAGAATAATCCAGGAATATCCTTCCCGAAATTGCTCGGGATCGTGCCTGTGAAGTTGTTAGTGAAGAGGGAGATGTAGGTGAGGTTTACTAGCCTCGAAATCGTTGAAGGAAGCTGCCCAGAGAGCTCGTTTGTGTTGAGGTCAAGAGTGATGAGAGATGTCAAGTTCCCGATTTCAGGTGGAAGAGAACCTGTGAGATTGTTTCCGAAGAGCTGAAGCCTCTGTAACCTCGAGAGGCTCCACAACCCGAAAGGGATCAGACCAGAGAGACGATTATCAGAAAGATCCAACTCTTGCAGACTCTTCAGATTGCTTATCTCTGAAGGTATTAACCCAGAGAAGCCGTTGTTGAAAAGAAAGAGGAATTGGAGATTAGTTAGCAATCCGATCTCCACAGGTATCCTGCCAATGAACTTGTTTTTCTGCAACTGCAACGAGATTAGTTTCGTCCAGTTACTGATCAGAGCTGGAGAGACCTCACCAGAGAGAGAATTGCCCGAAAGCCCGAGCTCTGATATCCGAACAAGACGGGACAAAGAGACAGGTAATTCTCCTGTGAGTCTGTTCTCGGCCAATGCCAAGAAAGTTAGGTTCGTGCAGAGGCCGAGTGGTGAAGGTATGGTTGCATTCAAGAGATTCTTATGGAGATCGAGTCTCTGAAGCTTCTGCAGCCGTCCTACGGAACCTGGGATTGAACCCGAGAAGGAGTTGTTGGACAGATTGATAACTTCGATTTCAGGCAAAGTTCCGATGGTGTCAGGGATCGGACCAGAGAGCTTGTTGTTCTGCAGTTGAAGATCCACGAGCCTAGAGAGATTGGAGATGTTCGGTGACAATGACCCGGTTAACGAATTGTCGCTGAGATTGAGGTACTGAAGATTCCTCAGATTGGTGAAAATGGATTCGGGTATTTGGCCGGCGATGTAGAAATTCAAGGACAGATCGAGATAGGTTAGATTCCGACATCTGAGGATGAAACTGGGGATTTGGTCCGATGAAATCTCGTTGAAGGCTAAGCTGAGATACGTCAACAGAGGGAATTCTGAAAATTCAGACCATTCTCCGGAGACGAAGTAGTTGTAACCGAGTTCTAGCCGCCGTAACTGTATGAAAAAATTAGTATAACGAACTTATGAGATTTTGGTCGCTTATGGTAAGGATCCGACATGAAAGATGGTTAATTACAGAACCAAAGTTAGGGCATTACCTTCTTCAGATTACTGATCTCAGAGGGGATGGAACCGTTGAGATTGTTGGCATAAACGCTCAAGAACTCGAGCTCCGTCAAACTCCCGAGTTCACGAGGTAACTCACCTTCGAAGTAATTAAAACTCAGATCCAAGTAAGTGAGCTTGGTGAGATTGGCGATTGAAGCAGGAACTTGACCACCGATCAAGTTGTTGTTGAGATCAAATGTTGTCAAATTCGGAAACGCCGAGAAATCGAGTCTGGAGAGAGTTCCATTGATGTCGGAAACCAAGAGGTTTATCTCAGAGACAGATCCAGAGGAATCGCAGGAGATGGAAGTCCAGTTGCAGAGGTTTCTGATATTCGACAGGGACCAAGAGTTCAGAGATGTCGGAGAGGAGATGAAGCTGTTCTTCCATCGGACAAGAGCTTCGGCTTGAGATCTTCTTGGTTGGGATCTGATCTTCAACGGAAGTAAAGAGAGGACGACGAGATGGATCAGGAGAAGAGAGATTCTACGTTTCATGGTGGATTGCGACAGTGATGGCAGAGAATCCTTTTAGGGTTTTGAAATGGGGGATGTTGCTGCTGTTACTTGGGAAAGAAGGAACATGACGTTAGAGATTTAGGGGTTTCCATGGCTTTGTGGTGCATCAAATCCAGGCTCTTATGGCTTTTAAACAGATCTTGAAGTAATAAGATCTTTTAAAGTTTAATGGATACATGTAAACCGATGTGAACAATAAAGTCAAATCTCATGATTTTTTTAACATTTGTTGACAAATATATATTTATATATTCATATACACATGTTTTTATTTTATTAAGAAGATAATATGTTTAGTTACATAGTCTTTGAATTCCGTGGCGTAAATTTCCTAAATTAAAAATATATTTCTAAAGACGAAATAATAATTCGCCCTCGAATGGTCTAACTTAAACGAATATTATTTTCCCAATTCACTAACTATATACTTTTTCCAACGAAATCAAACGAATATTTTACCGCATCCTAATTAAAATGAATATTTATATTTTCATTATGAAAATATAACTCGGGTAGCTATGAAAATGTGAAATAACACGCATGTTAGAATGCTATGCAAAGTGAATTTTGATTTAGTAAATCCCTATAGACAATAATGTTCACTCCAATTGCCATTCTTTTATAAGAAAAAATCATTTATTGGACTTTGAATTCCAATTGGCTGCCGCGGTCTTCAAAATGAGTTGACTTGACCAAATCCTTTCCCCTCACTTTAATAATATTTATGATTTGCCAATGGTTATCTTATAATAAAAAAAATGAAATACGTACAGGTACGTAATAGATTTTATTATTTGAATTCATACAGTATGTTGAAAAAATATTTTGATATTTATATAAATTTGGAATCTTAACGAACAAAAAATAAATACCTCGGGTACCTTATTGTTGACTATTCAAATTTATTAAACATAAGTTTGAAATTTTAGACGCAACGAGGAACTATCCATTAATTTCAATTGCCTAGAGTTCACACAGACAGCGTCTCAAACCATAACCATGTTTTAACTCGTGAATATTAATTTTTTATTTAAATTTTCGAGTCCATTTATTATTATATTATATATTTTTTTTTATTTTTAGGAGTTTTAAAAAATATTACATTGGATTTTTTCTATTTCAGGAGTCATAGTCGTCCAAAATCCTATTAAAAAATATTACATTCTGAAGTGTTATTCCGCTTTATTTGCAACATAGCCCTTATAGTTTCTAAAATATTGGGAAATAGCCCGACATTTTGATGCAGACAGGCTAACTGTCACTTCAGAATGGGCTGGTCTAGTCCAGACAATTTTTAATGGGCTTTATTAACGAACGGGTCTTAGGCCCAATAAAGTTATCCATTCACGTTACTGCCTAAACTTCCAAGTGGATTCAACACAAATTTAATCTCTCTCTCTCTCTCTGCAATTCCTCCGGAGGAACAACAGTCAGAAACAGATCTTCTCCCCGAGAACGATGTCGTTTGAGGAGGAGGAGGAGGCCTTCGAGCACACCCTCCTCGTCGTCCGAGAGGTCTCCATCTACAAGATCCCGCCGCGGACAACCTCCGGCGGCTACAAGTGCGGCGAGTGGCTCCAGTCCGACAAGATCTGGACTGGTCGCCTCCGCGTCGTGTCCTGCAAGGACCGCTGCGAGATCCGACTGGAGGATCCCAGCTCCGGCGATCTCTTCGCTGCCTGCTTTGTCGATCCTGTTCGGAGAGAGAACTCCGTCGAGCCATGTCTCGATTCGTCGAGATACTTCGTGCTCCGGATCGAGGACGGGTGCGGGAAGCACGCTTTCATCGGGCTAGGGTTTACGGAGAGGAACGAGGCGTTTGATTTCAATGTCGCGTTGTCGGATCACGAGAAGTACGTGAGGAGGGAGAAGGAGAAGGAGACTGGTGAGACGAGTGAGAGCGACGATCACATCGATATTCATCCTGCCGTGAATCACAGATTGAAGGTAGTCCGATCTGTTCCTAAGCTTTCGGAATTAGGATAGGATCACAGGACCAATGCGTAATCTGGATAACCTGTAAAAAACGGAAATGAAAGCTCGGATTGATCCTCTGAATGACTTATTGTTTGAAAGAGAACAGCCGAATTCAATATGGAATCGATTCAATCAGATACATTGTGTGGCGTAGCTCGCATTGTAGTAGATCTCTTGTTTTTATCTAAGGCCTTCAAGGAATGAAGAATAATCTTTAGGGTTTAGTCGGAAGTTGCTTGCGCTTCTTGTGTTTATTGATTGATCACAGAGAACTCTAGGATGCCTTGTTTGCGACGAGTCTAAGAACTGAGATTAGGTCACAGGCTGCATCTTTGGGTTAGTGTAAACTGTAGAGTGACATAAAATTTCTTTATTAATAAGCTTTTCTATCTTACTTCTTGGGATGAACTTGGTGATTAGATTGCAATATAGATAGTATCCCAGCCCCATTATTTTTCGACTTTATCGTTTTAATGCTTTTGTCGAGAGATTAGGATGTTAAAAGTGTCACAGGATCCAATTGTTGTCGATCTTTTTGTCATTGAATCGGTACCATGTTGCTTTAGTGAGGGCGTTGAGAGGGATATCTAGTTTTTTGTTTGAGTTAATCTCTTGTTTGTGTAATAGACTGATGTTTCAGCATTTGCGCTTTACTGCCTGAGAGAGTTAATAGTTCTTGGCCCATAATGGTTGTAAACTTATAGCATTCTGTCCAGACTCAGTTGTGAAATCTTGTTGTTAAGATGAAAAAGGATGCCCCTGATTTGCTTTGGTCGGTATAATTGATTGCTTCAGAATCTCAAGTCGTCTACTAAATCTTGGGTTTTAGCATCCCTTGGTAGTAACCTAAGAGATTGATATTCTGATGATGTTAAGTCTGGCTCATAATGGTTAGCATTTTTCTCTCTGATTCTCAACTGCGGTATCAATAGGTTTTCACTAGACTAAGAGTAATATCCCCCGTTTCACTTGAATCAATTTTCTCGATTGCTTGCTTCAGAACTAGAAGCCTTCCTTTAGATAAACCAAGCTTTCCTCTTTCACTCTTACTACCTAAAGAATGCACTTATGATGTTGTGGCGGTTATTATTAGTGGTCAATATTTTTGCCCCACATTCCTTTTCTTGGAACTCTTGTCGCTGAAATGACAAGATCCTCCGTGTTTGACGTGATTCAATCTTCATAATTGCACAAGAGCCAAGAGTGTTCTTCCCACGACTGACTTGGGTTTCAGCTTCCCGTCTTCGGTACCTCTGTCAGTGAGTGAGAGAGAGAGAGAGAGGTCATGATTGTCCTTCCTTAAATCCGACTTTTTAACACCAGATGTCAGTGACAATAACGAAATCGTTCTTTTGGTGTACAGGAAGGCGAAACCATAAGAATCAACGTGAAGCCCAAGCCGACAAGTGGAACAGGGATGCTCTCAGCTGCTCTTTCAGGAAATGGGAAGCCTAAAGCACTAGCACTAGCGCCACCACCGGGTGGCGCTGGGAAAATCAGATCGCCTTTACCACCGCCTCCAAATGATCCCGTCTCTTCAAAACTGGTATCTGAAAATAGTAACGAATCAAAAGATAACACAGGTCATGGAAATGATCCTCTATCAGATTTTTCTCAGCTCAAGGTAACAGCCTTATTTCTTCGCTCGAACAAGAATCACCGCTACTATTGTTCAGTCATTCTTCTCTTAAGAATAATCCTATTCCCACTGACGGTTTCCTGCAGAGGAATCTCCCTCCGAGCAAGGCCACCGGGGCTGCATCAGGGTGGGCGGCTTTCTGATCTCTGGACCATCGGGACGAGGCTTGGGTCAGGACTGACTTCATCTTGCCACCATCCCTCTTGGGGCAGAACCAGAGACAAGATCAAGAACACATGCCAACCAGAAGGAAATAGTAAGAGAGTTTTGAGGTAATGTCACCTGTTCTTTTGGTAAATGATGTTGTGTTTCTTTGTAACCCCCGAACACACTCTGGTGTTGTTTGTTATCTCTGTTTTATTTCCCATCTTTTTTACGGAGGCTGGCTATGGTTATGCCAAGAAAAAGGAGGCTGGCTATGATCTTATATAGTTATGCCAAGAAAAAGGAGGCTGGCTATGGTTTTATCTGCAAATTAGATTTGATCACCATTGCAATTCCCGATAGAGATCAATCAAATTAAGCCTCTTAAGCTAATAGATGACTCTGCTCCAACCGTTGATTCATTCCCGACATTACGACAATTTCAGATATATGGTAAACCATATTCATTCCCGACATTACTATTATAGTTGTATTTTAACAAAAGAATGCAATCTAAAATCTAGAAATCACAATATTAACTTTTTTAACTTGCTTTTTGACGGGTTTCATATCACGTTCGTTTCTTGTCGGACGGCTCTCCACGGATCTTCGTATCACGACCGGTAGATACGATACGACGCCGTTTTCCTTGTCGACGGTGACAGGACTAAATGACGTGGCAACCTGCTTTTGTAAACGTATTACAAACACTGTTGGTAGATCTCACGGCCAGGAATAGCGTCACGTGGCGAAAATCTAGTGGTAGTTGGTTCTTCGTTGCTTGGTACGTTACGTATTAAAGGGAACCGAGGGAGAACCGTTGGGTGTCACCTACTACTACAGCTACCACGATCTTTGCCGGTTTCGTGGAATCGGAAAATGGCGGAGAGAGATGCGGCAGCGAAAGGCGGAGGAGACGGCGACGATGCCATTAGGGTTTGTGGTATGCAGTTCGCGTACGATGTTCAGGATCCTCTCTTCTTCGACTTCAATCTCGAACTCCCCGCCGGATCTCGCTGCCTTCTAGTTGGCGCCAACGGATCTGGTACGATTATCCATTTTTTCTGGATTTGCTTGTGTAGTTGTTCTTTTTTTCCATCCTCTTTCCCTAT